CATACTATACATCTTACTGTACATACATACTCATACTACACATACTATCCATTGACTCTTGGCAGTTCCACTGGACTGCCAGTATAAAGAAGTGTGAAACCCTGAATGTCTCAAGTTGGTCCTGCTAAGCTTTTTGACTTGACGTCAGTATTGAGGCAAACAAGGAGACCACAGCTCTGTGTATCACAGAGTCAGCTCTCTGATTGACCCATCAACAAGCTCTTTGTCCTCTCCTCGTCGCTTCAGCCCTCTAGGGGTGGGTCATTAACTCATCTTTATCCAGCTAGCTTTTATAATTCTCATGTGTACCGTCTGCACCGACCAAGATCACTTCTAAAATCTCTGCAGGAATCAAACGACACTCTTCCTTTTTTCTGAGGAGGGGAGTTCTCTTCTCTGTTTTTCTGTCGTGTGTGTGTGTGTGTGTGTGTGTGTGTGTGTGTGTGTGTGTGTGTGTGTGTGTGTGACACTGTCCTGTCCCGTTGATGTCAGCTCATCAAACAGCTGACGTGATACCAGATGTTTGCTGAGGGAGATGAAGGTGGAGTGTGGAGAAAGGTAACGGTTGTCGTGGCTCTGGGTTTGTTCCTCCTAAATCTCCTCAATATGTAATCAGACTGTTTGCAGGATTTAAAAGGTGCAGCATGTCTGCAGCAGCATGTCCTCCATCTGTGTCACTGGTTCTTCCTTTAGTGTGTGTTTGTGGGAGAGAGAAAGAAAGCCATGTAACATCACGCGTCAGTCCCACAGGGCTGCTGCTCACTGTGGGAACTCCAGCTAATCTAGTAAGAAATAGTCCTTAGTCAGCACACACACACACACACACACACACACACACACACACACACACACAGCGTTCTCATGCTAGAGGGGATCCACCCACACATGTAGTGATACAGTCATATTTAGACATTTCTGTGAACTTGGTTTACAGTTATGTTCTTAACAACACACATGAACACACACACACACACACACACACACACAAAGCTTCAGTCAAGGGTCATTATCTCAGATGTATCCATTGACTCTTCATCAATCGCTAGAATTCATCATCATAATTCTCATTTGCATCAAGTATCAATGCATGCATCATATTTACCTTTCATAGATGCCAACCGTTTTCTCTTTTCATTCACTTCACCATGAGTCATGTGCTTCATAGAATAGTCCACACTGTGCATCATAGTGGACATCATTGTGGTGATGGTTCACCTGTGGTTTCAGTTTGATGCGAGGAGGTTCCGGCTGCAGCCTGTAGCACCTCATGCTAACCTTATCTCTTCACCTTAACCCGAATATAGCCAAAGGGGGCGTGGCCTGAGCTGCTAAAGGCTGCAGACGGACCATATTGCACGGAGCAGTAATAAAGCAGTGCATCTACAGCAGATATGCAGCTGGGGGTGACTGTTGCCAGGTCATAGTTGTCATGTGTGAGTGTGCAGCGTGAGGCGCTAAACGGAGTGACAATGTGTTGGAAATGCAGCAGAACAACGTAGACATTTGGTTGCTGTTGAACATAGATTTGTTCAAACAATCATCTTTCATGTTGTGCCATGTTAAATAATCTCACCGCTCTCCGATAAACCTGCTGCACAGCACCAAACAGGGACTTGGTTAAGCTAGCTAGCATGGAGGGGCAGGTCTTCTTGTGGTCACTGTACAGATTGCATTCCCACCAGTCTGACATCCAATGACAATGTGACTACGACCACCTCCAAATGTGCTCTAATCCCCTTCACATTCCAATCTCACATACACACTGCATCAGCATGTGTTCTTCTTTATCCAGATAATGTATTCAAATATGTTAATGCCATGGCATTAATGTATAAATGGGGAATATAGTAGCCTACACAGAGTTATCATACGTACGTGGAGATCACATCGTTTCAGTCATTCTCTAACACTTCTTTCATATTGTGGATATTTCATTTTGAAGTGACGTTCTTCAGATATTAAGAACTGTGGTCCAGATCTAGGTTGTGCTTTGTACCTGTGTCATATTTAACACTGTTTAGTTTTCCGATGAGTAAAGAGATCTATAAAAGCTGTGGAGAGGATGATAATGTGTTGCTTCTCATAATCAAAGGGAAGCAGATGTCAGGCAGCTGCGCTGTGGGCCATGACCACAAGTTCTGATAAATTACCTTGAAAGACTGCAGCTTATCCTGCAGTAAGTGACACTGGTGTTAGATTTCAAACTGAGAGTCAGCTGCCATGACCTAAGACTTTGTGTGTGTGTGTGTGTGTGTGTGTGTGTGTGCGTGTGTGCGTGCGTGCGTGCGTGCGTGCGTGCGTGCGGCGCTGGGCTGGAGTGATTATGGGGTTTTAGCCGTCTGTGGCTGTGGTGTTGACACAATTTGTTTACCATGTGATCTTTCCATTTGGACGGTGGGTATTCCTCTGTGGTCTCTAATGTGTTTAATGTACCATCCACTCGTCCTTCAGAGGGAAACGAAAAGTTTAAGGACCTGGAACATGTATTAGTTCAAGTCTACATATTAAATGGTATTTTTATGGAAGTGTAGGTTGGTTGGTCAGTTCATCATTGTGGTCCACACTGTAATATCTCAGCAACCATAGGATGGATTCCCATGAGTTTTTTCATAGACATTCATAGTGCCCAGAGGATGTATATTAACGATGTTTGTGATCCTCCTCCAGCGCCACCATGATGCTAATTTTTCTTTTTTTTTTTAGAGAAATGTCTTGACAACTATCACTCAATGGACTGCTATACAATGTGGTGCAGACATTCATGGTCTCCTCAGGATGAATTGTAATAACTTTGATGATTCATTGACTTTTTATCATCAGGTTAAAATTCAAACGTGTTCTAACATTCCAATCAGTCTTACCCGTACTTTGTATTTAGTGCTAAATAGCAAATGTTAGCATGCTAACATGCTAAACCAAGACACTGACCAGCATGATTGTCACTGTGAGCATGTTAGCATGCTGACGTTAGCATGTAACTCGGCGCTGTGCCTAAGTACAGCCTCATAGAGCCGCTGGCATGGCTGTTCACTCTTATTCTTGATTAATGGAGTGTTACAGTGTATCAAGGCCATCACGTGTGGCCTTTACGTTCAGAAAAGGTAATTGGTCTGTTCTAATGAATCTGTCATGTCCCTAAACTGTTGTTTTATTTAGTTGTGGAATCGTACAACTGAACTCTGAATAAGACACTTTTAGATGACTTAATGTTACAATTAACTTTGATAAAGCAAGAATACACTGTGAAAGGGTTAAAGTTGTAAGAGACAACACTTTCACCTGTCAATCACAGTAAGCCCCGACCTAAAGCATCCCCTGCTTTATGGTCTGTTTGACTCTAAATGGACCATAATGTACTAAATGAACATCATGCTGTATTGAAGAAGACTTGAAACTAGAGATTGAGACCATAAACTCATGTTTACAATGTTTACTGAGGTAATAAATCAAGAGAGAAGTAGAGTCATTTTCTCATAGACTTCTATACAACCAGAGGAGTCGCCCCCTGGTGGACACTAGAGAGAATGAATGAACGCTTCAGACCCAGAGGTTATCTCCTGGTCTATTACAGACAAAAACACAAATAATAGTCATTTTTCCCATTCGTTCCTTTTAGGGTTTGCATAATAAATTGTCAGCATGACGGAAACCTAAAATAGAAAGTCGATTTTAGTTCTACTCAAATCAAAATGCTATTGCTCAATAGTACTGTAAGCTGTGTAAAGTTACATCCCTCTGAATAAGTCAATTTAAAAATATGTTTTTTACATATTTGTTACATCCGGCCCCTTGATCAATCACCAGATGCAAGAGGATCAATCTACTCAATAATGTCACTTGTAAAACTGTTGGAAGCAGAATCTCTTTTCTTTTGATCAGCTTTTAGGAGAAAATGACAGAGGAAGAGTGTTTGTGTCTCTGCTTTAGTTGAATGGAATCAGTAGTGATCGGTATAAAATGATTCCCGACAAGGATGGATTAGGGCCAAAGTGTTCTGCACCAACTGGACCTAGTTTATCAAACAACAATCCAATGCCACTTCAATTTGAGTTAAGAGAAGAGGAAGTGGGATTAGATGAGGAAACGAAAGCAACAGACAGTTGACAAAGAGGTGTGTGTTTTGTGTGAGTCAGAGGAAACGCACACGTCTTCATGTTCAGCAGCCTGTCTCTCTCACACATTTTGTTTTTCTCTCTCCCATACCAAAGAAGCACAGAGCTGTATTAATAGAGCCCCACCTCGTCTGTGTGAGTGTGTATATTTAGCTTTGCAGGGTCTGGGCCCCCGGCCTAGCATGCTCTGCTAGTGTGGGAACAACATTGTCCTGAGTGGAGTAGCTGACTGATGGCTTCTCAATGCATTGATCTCCGATATTAGTGTGTGTGTGTGTGTGTGTGTGTGTGTGTGTGTGTGTGTGTGTGTGTGTGTGTGTTTGACATTTCTTTAGGTGTGGTGTGTCAAAGCTCAAGTGTTGCTGTCAAAGCATCAATCTTACAGTGTGTGTGTGTGTGTTTCCCAGGAGCTGATGAGCAGGACCTCTCTGGAGTCTCAGAAGCTGGACCTGGTGGACGAGGTGTCCTGCCTCAAACTGAAGCTGGTCAGCATGGAGGAGACACACACCAATACACCGCCACAAGAGCCCGCGGACACCGAGCAGAACAAAGCCGAGGTATGGAGAGTCATCAAAGCTGAGTGTGTTTCACAGAGCTGCCCAACAGCAGAGCTGCTGCTGTGTCTTGGATCTTAAATGCTGCTTGTACTGGAGTTGCTCGAGGTCCCTGCTGCATTTGCCTGAATGAAAAGTATTCACCCATATGACATATGTACATCAGTGGTGGGCCGTCAGGGCCAGCAAGGCCTTCTCTGCTGGCCTAGACAGAATCACAAAGTTATAGCTATTTTATGATTTAATTATTTTTCATAAATACACTACATGTATTATCATTTTTCTTCCCATTATCTTATTTTCTTATTGCACAGCTACTGTCTTCCTCAGTTGCTCTGCTTCCAGTGCAGCTTGTTTTAAGTAGAGCTTTTATCCAATCAGATTTCACCTCTGTGTCTCTAGGTAAGAACAGAGGCCCGAGACCTGCAGACTCACAAGTGCATCCATGTGCAGTTTAAGTGAATGGGGACGATATTGTTGATTGTCATAGTCTTCAACCAATCAAATCTTTAGTTTGACATGTTGGGCGTATTCTTTGAAGTGCCAGAGCCTGCTAGCTGGTCTACAAGTACGTGATTGGTCAGTGGGCTAGCGTGACATGTTGGGCGGTGACAATCCCAATATCTGCTGCCTCTGTTGAGCGGACATTTTCAGCCTCAAACGCATTAAAACGTATTCAAGAAATACAACTGGGGAGGCTCGACTGTCTTCACTGGCGTCCATGAATGGAGAAGGACTTCTTACTAGAACTAAAACGCACGGATGTACTGAACAACCGTGGGATTAAACTCTTTGTTAACAAAGAAAGGAGCATTGACGTTGTCTTTAAATAGTGAACAGCAGCTCTGGTAAGTTAAATGCGTTTGTTTTTACATCTGCAGTAGCTTTAATATGCTTGTTTATATATTATTATTTGTACAACTTGTTTTTATGAAGATTGATTTTTGTTTGGTTTAATATGTGATAGGAACTATTGTTATGTCCAATGCTGATCTGGGGACATATTTCGCCGGTGCAGTGTTGCCAGCTTGGCGACTCTCTCGCTAAATCTGGCGACTTTCAAAACCCTCATGAAGACTTTTTTAGTCTAGTGACAAATCTGGGGTTGTTGGAGACTTTTCTGGTGTATTATTTATATTATATATATATATATATATATATATATATACAAGAAGCACCTGTTAAGATCCTCACATTTCAAAGTGAACATCTGCTTTGAGGCAGAGATTCTGCTTCAGTGAGGGCAGAAACAGTTGCATCAAATCTGTGTGTTTCTTACTTAACACGAATACTGGCACACACACACACACCCTCACACAGACACACGTGCATGCCACCCTAGTTGAGCAGTCGCCACTTGTCTTTACTAGTTTCTTTGTTTGGACTTTGTTCATTGTGACACCCAGCTGCTCCCCACTGACACCACAAGATACTGAAGCTGCTCTTGTGGTTTAGCACTGTGCGTGTGTGTGTGTGCGTGCGTGTGTGTGTGCGTGTGTGTGTGTGCGTGTGTGCGCGTGCGTGCGTGCGTGCAGAGCTATCACGAGGCTTCCAGCACCCACGGCCATGCTTTGATAGAATAAACAGGATACAGGGTTTTTGAGCATCAGCAGAAGTAGAGGGGGCTCCATGAGAGAAGACGAGCAGACGGACAGGAGGAGGGACAGTGACAGGCAGATGGAAAGATAAGAAATGACAATATGTACTGTGTAAATATTATTTTCTGCCCTGCGATGGCGACACACGATGGCGAGGTAACTGTCAGCGACGTCTGCCTCTGTGAAAAAACCAAAGTGTAATCTGATTCCTCCGGCAACTTTTCCTGCCCCTGCTAAGCTCACATGGAAACCAGATTCTGAGGTTAGCAAAAAGGAAAGTTATGTCAGCAGTTGGTGTCAGACTTGTTTTTGGTCAGGAAACACTTGTTGCTGTGGTGTTTAGCCACTGTGGGTCCAAGAGGTCACTGATGAAACCAGGTCACTGCTGGGGCTCGCCTATTATTTCTATAGGTAACAAAAATCCTGTGATTACTGAGATCCAGGAACATGAGTGCATTGCTCATGAAGCAGGCAGACAGTCAGACAGATCATCTAAACCACTTGGTCTGTGATGCAGGCGGGCAGTTGGGTTAATGATTTTATATTTAATCTAGTCAAGTTAAGGCATCACTAGAGGTTTAATAATTCATCATCAGGGGAACATGAATGGCTACCAAATTGTATGGCAATCCATCCAACAGTTGTGAAGATATTTCAGTTTGGACCAAAGTTGTGGAGCGACCGACCAACCAACATCGCCTTCCTTAGAGCCACTAGCATGGATAAAAGCAAGACAGTGTGCAATTCTACTAAACCGTCACTGTCTTTCCCTGTGTTCAGTTGTGACTGAAGTATTCTGAAACCAGAGGTGGATAACACACATTATGTGACCTATAGGAGCACAGATGCAGCTTGATATCAAGAGTGAGATTGTGATGTTGGGTTATACGCGAGCTGGGTGTGAATGTTAGATAGTCCTGATGGGCAGGTGGCACTTTGCATGTTAGCCCCGCCATCAGTGTGTGAATGAATGTCAATGCAAAGCTGTAATCACCATATGAGAGCGGTGCAGAGCGGTGGCCGTGCGCTCACATGCGCTCACATGCGCTCACATGCGCTCACATGCACGCTGCCGACCGGCTATGTGACCAAAGAGAGGAGAAGCTCTGATAACAAGACACACTTCATCCTCTGCCCAGGTGGACATTACTCCTCCATATCTGTACATAGATGATAGATGTTGGTGAGATATTAATGATCTGAATATTGAATAGAGAACCTTTGACATCGTGTAAAGAACAGTATTCATCTTGTTAGGTGTTTTTCTTCAGGAGGCAGCGTTGTCTGTGCACACTTGTCAGACTGTGACAGGCATCAAGTAGTCACATGCCAGGCTCAAGGGCACTTCAGTAGAGGTTTGCTCAGGAAAGAAAGAGCTGCACTCATTCATGTGCAGCAGTGTGACTGTCCAGCTGGTTTAGGGATCACTGAGGCTCCACAGCATCAGTTGTGCCTCCGTGGTGTCTAACAGAGCTGCTTTGACACGGACACGTGGACTCTTAGTTGGTGTATGAATGAGATAATCTTACATACCTGCATACACCTCCGATCCAACACATCGATGTACAGAGGTGGTGTTTTGCTTTGGTCATGTTGCGATGGCAACCGACGGCGGTCTAGATTCTTGTCAGCAGAGTGAGTGTGTCTGTGCGTGGTTTGTAACAGCTGCAGGAGGAATGGCAGGCATCCACTCTGAGCATTCCTGAGGGCCGCACACTTTCACCTCAGGAGACCACACGAAGCCACTGCTGTCTGATCAACACTGCAATTGTTGAAACTACAGATTGATGACCATGCATTTTTGTTTAATGTAAGTCTGCTGTATCTTCTCTTCCTCTGTCTGGGTAGAGATTCTGATCCTCATTCAGGGTGGAGCTGTGACATAGAGGTGTAAGAGCCTGTACTGGTCCACTGAGAGACAGACCACATCAGTGGGTGTACTTTGGGAGAGAAGATCTGCTTTACCTTTTCACTAAGTATGTTCTGTGGCTGCCTGGTAGCTCTTCCTGTGAAACAGGTTGTTATGCACTATTTCTTCTCAGTGGGAACCTCCTCTAATGCTGTCATTGTGTTGACATTGTACAAAGTCAGACGTTCCTTATGAAGACATCCCGATGTGGACCAGGAATCATTCAACCCTGATCTCCCTCCCTATGGATCTGCTACATGTAGTAGTGAAATGATCTTGTGACTGTATCCCACGGCCTACATCAAGGAATGGATTTATTAATATGTAATAAACTTATAGTTTCTAACTGGCATGTGATGTCCTGGGAGCTGAGAGTAGAAACTATAGCCCGACAGATATTTGATCTTTCAAGCTGATACTAATGTTGAAATTCGGAAGTAAGAAAAAAACAACACATCTTTTACATAAACAATGTTGATACTCATACCGGCTGGTGTATCAATACATGCGTAATAAGAGAACCCAACATGTCGGCCTGTCTACCTCTAGAAACACCACAGGTGGTGACATGTTTCAGTGTGGTCAGTCAGCAGCCAGATGTGCTCTCACAGCTGGACCGGTTGGACCTTTTATCTACTGCAGAGAGTAACATCACACCCGGAAGCCCTCTGGAACAAATGTGATGTTCTATGAATGAAAATGTTGATGATCGGACACAATGATGACCTCTGCTGTCAGTCCTCACAGGGCATCGAAAGAGTCCGACAGAGATGTGTTGTGTAGTTGAACACAGACGCTGAGTCATTCTGCACAAGGGGGGGAACAGTATACTTGTGTGCTGCTGCTGGTATTGTCTGCTCATCCTCTAGTTACCAAAGTTCTTTACTTCTCTCTGTTGCAATTCCTTCTTCTGCTCTCACTTTTTTAATTCATATTTATGTTTTATGTTGTTTAGATGTTTGAAGAGTGTGAAGTTTTAAGTTTCCTCACTAAAAGCTGACAGTCATCGAGATATGGAAACAGCTTTCCCAAATGCTGACTAGATTAACAAATAAGTACATGTCTGATCCTCTCCTTTCCTCTCCTTCTCTCCTCTCCTCTAATCTTGTCCTCTCCTCTAATCTTGTCCTCTCCTCCTTTCGTCTCCTCTCCTCTCCTCTCCTCCTCTCCTCTCCTCATCTCTTTCACTGCCCTGCTTTTGTTCTCCATCCCTCCTCCCCTCCCAGTGTGTGGTAAATCTCATCAGTGATCTTCAGGAGCAGATGTGCAGGTTTCAGGAGGAGATCAGCACTCGTATCCAGGAGAAACGGGCCCTGGAGGAGAGGGAGGCCCAGCAGGGGGAGGCCAGAGGCAGCCAAACCCAGGGCCTCATCCCTCAGGCTGGGTTAGCCGGCTCAGACCTGAGGTTGTCTGGCTCTGACGCCCGGATGCACAATGGAGGACAGACTGTACACGTAGGGAGACTTGGATGAACTCATCTTCCCCTCCTTCCCCATCACGTCTTCTCTTCTCTTATTTTTAACCAGTCCTCACACTGCCCGGTATTTGGAGCTTCCCACAGAATCAAACTAACAACCTCTCTTGTAGTGTGTCTGCAGATTGTGTTGGGGTCACACTCTACTCTGGTTCTTGCAGATTTGGAGAGGTTTTCCAAATACTTCCATACATTTGAGGACTTATTATTAAGTTGTTGAAGCTGAGTCGGTAACAATATGGTCAAATAAGGAACCCTACGGTAGCTACAGGTAGTGTGACCTACTGTAGGTGTGTTTCTGTCTGACTCCTCAAGTATCTGAAGCATTTGGACAAACGCATGTCAGCGCTAATCTGGGTTTTGTCTCTATAAATCCTGTCAAATAGGTTTGTGGACCGGCATTGTGTTTTGATTTGATTTGATGTGGTTTGCTTGCATGACGGTGGTTCCTCCCTCTACTAACCGTTCCATCAGTCCGTTTCCTCCTACACTGACCAGGTGGATGGGTCATGTCTCCTTCCTGTTTCTATAATGATATGTGATGCTCAACAAGGTGTCTTTAGACAGTGGCGGCGTGCAGCCTGGACAGCGCTCAGTCTTGTTCTGGGTCCTGGGTTCTTCCTCCTCCTGGTTGTTGGTAACTGCTCGCTGTGCTACTTGTTTCAGGAGGATCATGTTTCCTATATTAACCACTGTACTCTTCAGTTTTGGGGACCTTTGTAACTGCACTGAATGTGAACCCTCCTGTTTCTATGTTGGCATGTGCACAGCTCAGTAACCGTGTTCATTCCCAGAGTTTCAGAACAAGTAGGTGAACTCACCTGCATGGCTGTTGAGACTGCTTAGTGTGGCTTTGAAAAAGACGTGTGAAGTAAACAAAGCTGTGTTTTTGTTTTTTCTGTAGGATTTGCTACAAGAAGTGAAGCAGCTGAAGAGCAGAGTGGAGGAGCTAGAGGGAGAGAAGGGCCAGTATGAGAGGAAGCTAAGAGCCACCAAGGTACTTAATAAACCAACACAGGCAGCACAATAAGCTCACATACTGTGTGAAGATGTAGGTCATGTGTTGTACCAGTAAACAAAGAACCGTAACAGCTGCAGAGTGAATGTGATCTCTTTATCAAAGCTTACAGTAAGTTACTGTACCTACAGCCAGCTTAGCTACTAACCCTAACACAACAACGTGTACTAACCACAACATGCTGCAATAAAAGAATGCGCTGAAGCCCCCCAACACATGACATAGTTGGTCATGAGGCTAGTTTGGGGCTTTCATTAGAGAACTGTAAAACTGGACAAACATCCACTCTAAGCAATAGTTAGACTAAGAAACAGTCGTGACTGTGACAGACGGATTCTGTATTTTTTAGGACTTAAAACAATCTGAAAACAATATATCCGACATGTTTGTTCCAACTGTACCCCATATGCTAAGCTAACTGGCTGCTGGCAGTATTGCATTACAGACGTGAAATTGGTATCAAACTCGAAAAAGTTTATTTCCCAAAATGTGGAACTATTCCTGAAAGTATCCAGGTTACAGTGAGCTGTGTACAGCAGTCACAATCTAAACGTCATGGATTCCATCAGAGAAACCTTTCCAAGCTGCAGGCCTCCCTGAAACGTTTCTGTGTAACTGGGTTTGTAATCTGCTCTTTCTATGAATGTGCATGACAGAGAGTGTAGAAAGGGAATGCATCATTGGGAATGTAGAGCAGCTGTATGAAAGGAAAGAGTATTACATGTAGCAATAGCACTTTGTATTTAAAGATAATTCTGTGGAGGACCAGTCTGAGGATGAGAAGGTTAAGGTGGCAGCAAGTCATTTATGGTTATCAACCAGCTAGCAAGTATAAATAGGAGTCGAGTATCCGTCACACTACAGTGGAGAGTGATGACGTGGCTCATCTGAGAAACATCCAGGGAGGAAATGAGGTATTACTCACGATATAAATAAGAATGTAAAATAATATAATGTACTGTCATTTTGTTCACTTATCTCTATTTTAGGACTCACTTTATTGAAGCTTTTTGATGCTAAACAGCTGCACCATCATTTTATACTCATTTCACATTTGGTATTTTTGGAAAATCTGAGGTCTGTACTAGAAATAAAAATAATGATTTGTGAGGTTGAACAACATGTTGCTGACTGACAGGCTTTAAGATGAGAAGAGCACCTCTAACACATTGTTTGTTATTGCTAAGTGCCGTAGCTTTCTCTGTGCTTACAGTGCTTCCTTCCTCCTCTCCTCCTCCCTCTCTGCGGCTTGCTCTCTCTTCTTTTCCTTCTCCTCATCTCTAATCCCCGTCATTACCCTCTTCCTGTGTCTCTCTCTAGCTCTCTATCTCCTACTCTCTCCATGTGTGTTACCAGTCGCTCATGACCCAGCTGTCCAGCCTCAAGCTGACGGTGGAGCACACGCAGCTGGAGAAGCAGCACTGGGAGGAGCGCTGGCACAGCGCACAGGTGCCTTCTCTTCTTACTCCTCTGGCTCTTGTCTTCTGTGTTTGTCCCTGTCCTCAGATTAGTACTCAGTCCTCTTGCTAATACTGCCTCTGTCTCCCATCTCTTCTACCTTTTCTCCACCAGTTTTCTCCTTTGGCTCGTATGCTTCTCGTCTTCCTCCTCTTCTTCCTCATTTCCTTATTTTGTGCTCGCAGCTCCTCTTTTCTTCATCCTCCTGATCCTCCTTGTCTTACATCTGTTGGTCTTGTGATGTATGGCTGAACTTCCCCACAAATCACAAATGGTCCAGTAAAAAACAAGCTTTTAACCTACAGTAGGGTGGCGATAGAGTCAGTGAGAGAGACGGAGAGAAACACTCTGATCTCTACAAAGTATAAGTCCTCGTGTATCAGTGATAAGAAGCAGGAACAATGAAAACCAACCTTCTGCTGCTGACTGTCTCTTCTCCTTTCTGTCTTTGCATGGACAGTGTGTGTGATCCTGCATATTACCCAGATCAGATATTCCTTTATCAAAGAGTGACGACCCCACTGTTATCTTCTGTAGTGTTTAGTTTCCTTCAACATACAAACACAAAAAACATACCTTTGTGTTCCTCCTTCCACTTCACTGACCTGTCTTGCTTCTATTGTCGGCTTCTAGGCTTTTATTGTGAAGCAGCCGGATGCGGTGTTAAGTTTCATAGCATACCACCATTGTAAACATGCAGCTCTGTGCACACACCTGTTGTCTCCAACAGCTTTGATGATGAGGTTGTCAAGATCACACCAGGCCCTCCGTTTTCCTGAAACTAGGTGCAGGCAAATTCTCATCAGAAACCACTAAATGTTGCAGGTGTGTTGACCAGAAGGTGCTGAACTTGCAGAGGACATTCTTTTTTCATGCCTTTATTTAAAGAACGACATGTGACAAAAGCCTCGCTGCGGTTCATGGTGGCTTTAGCCCCTCGACCAGCAGCTCAGCCTGAGGCAGGGGAGCTCTCTCCTTTCTGCTCTGATTGGACCATCGATAGTGAGGAGGAGGAGGGCAAAGAGGAGAGAGAAAGGGGTCGCAGTCAAACCAAAGCATGTCATGTGAGTGCAGTGGAAGTGATGAGAGGTGTGTGACCGAGCCCTTAGCTGTGAGTCATACCGCACTCAGGTCAGTCATGTGAGAGTCATCAGCACATGGACTCCTCCATCTGAGAATGTGTACGTACGTCGCTCTCCTCAGATCTCCTTTAGGTAACTCCCTGTGGTCTGATGTAGTCGTGAACACGGACAATAAGATGTAAACTCATTCTGAAAATTCTACACCTCATGAAGGCAGCGCTTCAAGTAGAGGTGAGAAGACGGAGTCGGTAGAATAGAAGTGAAATACGTGGTTGTGCAGCAGAAGCCTGGTGGAGGAGCTCTGTGATAAAGGGACGATGTGTCTTGTCTCGTATTCTCGTCCGTCCTGTGGCGATGGACTCGGTCAGTACCCGCTTTGCCTTCCAGTGTCTGGTCAGGTCTGATGCACTCACATTGTTGTCTTATTTCAGAACTCTATGATTTGATCATTCACAGCTCCTTCAATGTGACAGGCGGCTCTCACATGAGTGCCACGAGACATCAATCTGTAAATCACAGAGAATTTAAACTATTTAGTTGCCTTGGAGTTGAACTTCCTACATCTGCTATTTATCCAACGACCAGGAGGACTAACACAGTTCACATGCACTCTATCCTCCTCCACAGGCAGAGATGTCAGAGCTGCAGCAGCTCGTGGCCTCCAAAGACGCTGAGATCGAATGTCTGCAGACCCAGCTGCTGGCCAGAGGCAGCACAGCCAATGACAACACAGAGAGAGGTACTCACCAATCACTGCACATCCACATCCGTCCGTGCAGATGTGTGCCTGAGAGCCACTTGCTGTAACTTCTAACCACATGTCCCTCTCTCCTCTGCTGTGTACTTGACTGCTCTCTGACTCTCTGCTGACCCCTGCTGTAGAGGAGGTGTATATCAAGCAGCTGATTAACAAATGTAAGGCATGGTGTGCTGCTGTTCTGGCTCTCATCGTCAACCAAACTGCTCTGCCATCATATGTAACTTTGTACCACACATTGATTCACTGCAGTGTTGCCGAGTGATGCAGTGATTTTGGCTCAAATCTCAACCAGTCCAAAACATAAAAACAGCAGTTGGCCCCTTGAAATGTTTACGTGTGGGAGCCTGTTAGTCGGGTGCCTGGTGGCAGAGTGTTTGGCTTGGGATCGGACCACAGCCGAGCTTCAGTTTGTGTTGGTCGTAGTAAACATTCCAGCTTCATTAAACATCAAACCCTCCAATGTACATGCATGGAGGGTAAAACTAATACCACGGCCACTTGACACCTGAATGACTCAGAAACATGATTTGTTCAGGCTGGACCAGAGGTCTCTCTTCTGAAGTCAGGAGAATAGCTGATCAGCTCTCTCACACACATGCAGTAACATACACAAGCTGTTGTTACCTACAGTTTAATAATGGCACATTAACAAACTGCAAACAAGCACCTGCGTCATACAGTAGGTCATACTGTCCGGTTGTCCACACCTACTAGCCAATCAGAATCAAGAGCTCCCAGTGGCCGTGGTATCAGCGTGTATAAACCTCAATGTACAGTGCCATCAAACATTCTAGCTTCAGTCTCTTTTGGTTTACCTCAGCCATATATTTTAAAGGGCTAATCCAACACTCTAGTTTTTAGCTATTTAGTTTGGGGACTCCACGGAGGAAAATAATAGTCAGAATAAATGCTGCAGAAGCCAAGATATCCTTAGTATGGGTCGAGCTCCAGTGCGTTCCCACGATGCAACCAATAGCATCTTTTTCATGTCTGATAAAACCAAGCCTCCAGAAAGCACTGGGCTTTAAAGCCAATTTGACATAGTGGCCAAACGGGGGCATTACAACGTCCAGGTCCATCATGTGATGCCATGGGCCCCAAAAAGACTCATTCACATAGACTTACATTACAAAGAGACCTCTGTATCAGCAGATCATTATTTTTAGATCAACTTCCCAGTACGATCACATGAATATCTCTTGTTTAAATCACAATACAGAGTTAGTCAGTGTGATGTTTTTGTCTCGCAGACCTTACAAAGCTCCTCCAAAGTCAAGTCAGTTTTATTCATGTAGCCCAATACTCGTACTATTCTTGGACCCTCGCATCAGAAAAGGAAAAACTGCCCAAAAAATCCTTTAACAAGAATGAACAACATAATCAATCTATATGACAGAAATGATTCATATAATGTGAACATGTATGAAGTCACATGAAGCAGTCATAGAAATATGACTACTACTACTAATAACTGTAGCAGTGGGTGTCAGGCAGGACCAGGGTCCAGATACAACCACGATCCATGGAAACCTGTGAGGAGAGAAAGCACAAAGACTAGTAATGTGCATTAATAACACCACTGCATTCACTCTCTCAGTAGTGCTAGTAAGCTGACCTTTGTGTGTTAGATTGGTGGAGTTCCCCTTTAGCATAAGTGGCTCAGTGTGTGTGTGTGTGTCTGTGTGCTAGTGTTGTGCTGCTTGTAAAAACCTCATTTCTCTGAAAGTGAGAAGTGAGATCTCTTTTCTTAGTTGGTGTTGGCCTCACTGCTGCACACAGCACAATGACAGGCTGCAGTGTGTAACAGGTGACGCTGTATGGACAGTGCTGCTGTCAGTGTGGATTGCTTATGCTTGCTTACTCACATTAGCATGGCTGTCATGGCTGTCGCTAACATCACATCAGGCGGGTGCCTGATGTGATTTGTCTCAAATGCCCAAAATGAATTAGACGCGAGGTTACTGTGGGTCCAGAATAACATTGTGATCGCTGGCTTGTCTTTGTTAGACCACGAATACCAGAGGCTGAAGGTGGGGATGGAGTCTTTGTTAGCTTCAAACGAGGAAAAGGTAAATGAACCCTGTTTATTACACCACCGCCGTGATGAAAGTTGTCTTTAATGTTGACTTGGAGAGTTAAGGGTCTCCTCATTTTACTTGATTACAATAACAGGATCGACGTATAGAGGAGCTGACCATTCTGCTTGTCCAGTACAGAAAGATGAGGGAAGTCATGGCTCTCACACAGGGTAAGAATGCTGAAAGTAGAGCGGAGGAACCCTCGTCCTCTGCCTTCCTGCCATGTGGTTGTAATGGTGTGGTGCTGTGTGATGTTTGTAGGGAGCAGTGAAGAGGAGCTGGCTGGCAGTCTAAGACTCAGAGCCATCACACACAAAGCACAATCTGATTCTGTTAGGTCAGAGGTACGACGAAGAAGCGCTGCTAAAAACACTCTATTTCACACGATTCATCACCTGACAATCTACGGATATCTGAACTGATGAAAGTGTTATAATGGTGTTTTGTCTCTACATAGATGTCATCTCGAGGGTCTTCTCCACTGATGCTTTCTTCATCTCCCTACCAGAGACAATTGGACTCCAGGTATAAACACTCTAGATACACACACACACACACACACACACACACACACACCTCACAGCTTCCTATTAATCTGAGCCCTTGTGTGCCATTTCTTGTAGTGTCCAGAACTCGATGGACACTTCGCTGGTGTCCACTGGGGACATGAGCTTCTTTAATGGCTCGTGGTAGGTAGAAGCTTTGGGTTCGTGTACCTTCTGTTGACCATTGCAGAGTTCTATGTAGTGCAAAGTGTAAAGTGTAGGCAGTCAGCATGAATCAGAACAGAGTGACATTGTTCCTCATTGAATCTCTGCTGATTCTGAAGAGTGTATTTTCTCTCCCAGGCATCGGTGCAGGTTGCTGTCCAGCAGTCTCGAGGAGCTGCAGAGTGGATCCTTCCAAAAGGTTCGTCAGTGCTTTGAATGACTTTCATGATACTGTGATCTAATCTAACTAATTCCGACCTGCTGCATCTGCTGCTGCTTCTTGAAGTTGACCTAACATGATTTACTTTACGTTATTTAATCTGCTCGTGTGAATGCTAACCTGCTAACTGTGTGTGTGTGTCCTGTCCTCTCTCCTGTGTCTGTGTTGGCTCCAGGCTGTAGAGATCCAGCCTCTTGAGACTGAATCAGACACAAGGGCAGAGGTACTGATGTGCTGCATGCCTTCACACAGCCTAACCCGACAAACACGTGTGCTGTGTGTGAAGCAGCGGGAGCGTCTGCAGTCCATTCAAAACACCATCATTTTTAGAGATCTTCTGTAACAAAAAACACTGTAGAACTTAAAAGATGTCAGAGAATTGGATCCGTCCCAGTCATACACATGTACATAATGCAGTCCAGGTGTTCATGTTCATGGGAAGCAAATATACACTGAGGCACATTCCTACATACATCAGTAGTTCACCAGGATGGACAAAACAACTAAAACTGAGTGTACGTTTTCCTCAGATCCACAAAGCCACATGTACGCCTGCTTCTGTTCTATAAATCTCAATCATTGTGGATCCATGTGACCGAGCCTTGTTTCCTCCTCCACTGGTTGCCATGGATGATGTAGAAACACATCTCACTGCATATTGCCTCCCCTCATTAGACCCTCTGGTGTTCAGCATGCATTCAGGGATCTCGGTAGCCACAGTGTGTGGGCTGTTTGCAATGGAAATGATGGCCTAGATTTATAAACAAATAAAGTCTTCGTGCCGATGCTGCATTTTATTCAGCCCCTCCAGATATACAGTATCGCCTCAGTGAATATCCTGCTGTCTGCTTCTCTCGTGCTGACAAGCAGAGTTCACCCTCTGAGTAAAAGCAGAATGCCTCCTGGTCACAGCCTCACACACACACACACACACACACATGCTTTGCTCTACAGATATTCATGCAGATACTGTGTTCACACACACACACACAGCTGAGTATCATGGCTGTTTCTGTCTGCTGGCCTCTCCTCTCATTGGTCCAGAGTCCCGCTGACTCTGCTCAGATACAGTTTCATCAGATGTGATGCAACAGAGCAAGGAGCAGACCTCCTCATGACTCTGTTGTCGTGAAAGATATTTAGATGGGACTGACCAGGAGAGGAAATGTGATGTTCTGTGATACACATCATACTCATACTCATAGTATCGTCTTAAAGTATGTAAGCTATAAATAAAGTAGGATAACAGACATCATGGCACACTAAAAATATGGCACTGTTTTGTTTTTGATGACCTCCAGAATGCTCACATGGAGCTGAGCAAGTACCAGACTCTGCCGGGGAAACTGAAAGGTAAAAAGAGCGAGCGGAGAGCCGAGCTGAATGGAGACAGAGAGCAAGATGGAGAGTATTCCTCTCCTGTCCACAGCCACGACCAGGACCAGGACCAGGACTACAGCCTCAGTGAGTCTCCTCTGCCTGGCACTCCTTAGATCATTCCTACCTGTTTTAATGAGACAGTGAAGAGTCGGGGTTCCCCACAGTCAGTGGGATATTGGGCCTCATGCAAGAACACATATGAGTTATTTAAGGTAATTAGTCCCATTCACCAATTTTCAGAATGTTGGTTTTGTAATTTGACAATACAATCATTCTGGTCCAGACCTGTTGGCTACACACTCTTGTTTGACATAAAGAATTATAATTCCTTAATCTGATTGATTGCATTTGGAGTTTGCAGTTACTGTGTGAGTTGCTGATCTATATGACCTCCATCAGTGAACGAGACCATCAGAGAGAAGATGGTCTAGACTCTATGGCCACCGGGTCAGATTCTGGTGACATCAGATGAACTCATGCAGGTTAACCAGAAACTCCTTCAGCTCAGACTCCAGCAGAGACCGGCACCTGATCTCAGACCAGGTGTTCTGATAACAAGATTAAATGTTCATAACATTCCAAGAAAATCACGTGAAAGGTCACTGTGAGGCAGATGCAAACGTGGTGCATTCTTCCAAAGACATATGGAATAATGACGATAATAAAGACACGTGTATGAAGAATAGCACAGAGTGGATGCCCGCAGGCCACAAAGAAGGATGTGGTAGGAACTTGACATTCAAACAGTTGCAATACAACTACAGGCTGCAACTGAACTCTTCTGGTAATTGTACTGCGTTTACCTCAGAACACCATCTCACCTCCAGCTGCTGCACTCTGCATCTACTACACTTACTACACTTCATTATGTCACTCCATCTCATCTTCATTTCCCATGATAGCTCAGGAAAACTTGGGCGAGGATGAACCGATTCAAATTTGGATGTCAAAGGTCACTGTGACCTTACAAAACACGCTTCTCGGCATAACTCAAGAACTCGTATGTTGATTGTGACAATTTTACACAAATAGTTGATATGATAAATGAAGATGATCTTTTGGCAGACATGGATGTAAACTGCAGCCTGGCGGTTGGCAAGGCAGTAGTTGTAGTGTTGAATGAAGCAGACCAGATGGCCGTACACTGTGAAGCATTGATTCTAACAATGATCACATCTACCCAGCTGGCACCTTGTAGTCTACATCAAGATCAGATGAACAATGTCTGAACAGCTTTGTACAGTTCAGAGAGTACGGTTCGTCCGACAGGAGTAAACCTCACTGGAAACAGAGACCTTCTGGATAAAGACAGATATGATAATATTACATCATTGAGAGGGATACATATTCCTGCAAGAGGCCCAGTGTTTATGAAAAGTTGCTGTTTTTCAAATGTCATTTTTCACTGTTGCAAGCACCACAAATGTCAGTTTGCATAGAAGTCTGTCGAAGATGCATTAAAAATGAAAATACCACAGTGGGAAATATGTGCTGGAACATATTCAATAAGCTGAAACACGCTTCAACTCAACTAACGTGGACTAACTCTGCTCCATGTGCTCCCTCTCTGTGCCCTTTCTCTGTCTCCTCCTGTCTGCTTGGCTCTCCTCTCTCTTTGTGCTCCGGCTGCAGTTCGCTGCAGGAGTGCCAGTGCTCCGGCTTTAGGTACTGTATGCTAATTCAAATACACTTTCAGGAGAACTGTTGTTGCTCCGGCTCTGAAGTCACAAACGAGCTTTTGCGATGTCAGTAATCTCATGAACAAAACAAGATGGCCGGCCGTACTCAGAGGTGAGCACGGTCAGGCTGAGGAACTGTTTACACTCTAAAGCCGCCATTACTATGAGTCCTTCATGATTCGGAAAGCCGCCCAAGATCATGCTGCTATCAGCATCCATGTAAGGACACAGGCGAGCACGAAGCAGGAGGGTAATCACAGGGCTGAGTGTAAACAAACAAAGATGCAACCTGACATCCCCCTGCTCTCTCTGCCTCACCCAGCACACTGTCGGAGGCAGGATGTCACACACACACAGAGAGAGAGAGAGAGAGAGAGAGAGAGAGAGAGAGAGAGAGAGA